AGGAGCCATTAATCATTTTCTCTTAAAAACGGGAGCGGGGGCTGGGAACATTGCTCCTTTATTTACTGAGAAGATGACCTGGCATCCTGGCAGCTGGCTCTGGGTTGGCGTCTGGAAGATTAAGTGAAGGAAAAGCCTCTGGGCAAGTTCCCCATAGTAAGGGTCGAGCTCTCTGCATTTCCCCTCCCTCTCGAACTACTGGGCTGAGCCGTGATGGCTTCCACCAGAACAGGGAGTGTCAGCAAGCTCCCCAAATGCTGCAATTCCAGGGCTGGGACAATTCCATAGACCTGCCAGTGCTCACCTCCAGTGCTGCTCCAGGTGTCCCCTGGTGCTTCTCAAGGTGGGAGGTGAGGTTAAGCAATAGAGCTCCGTCCCTTCCCGAAGGAGCCCGAGACTTGAGGCCGGGATCTATGACATCCCAGCCCCAGTAGTGACGGTATGTCTCATTGCATTGAAAGCAGCTTCCCTCCCCATTCTGGCAGCTGCGAACTGGCTGTCAGAGGTGAGGGGAATGCAAACAGTGCAAAATGAGATCAGGCTGCAAGGGGCAAAAACAAATAGGAAGTCAGGGGTGTCTGACAATGAGCAGACATCAATTAAATCACATCCAGGTTCCTCCAGGATCACACGCCACATCCACATTCCCATTCCCAGGGACCATGCTCTCCTAGCCCGTTCCCTGCCACCTGGCTCTCAGTCTCATAGGCTGCCTCTGAGGAGCTTTGGGACATCTCTCGGTGAGGACTTCCTTCTGGTCTGGAACAGCCCAAGGTCTGCGCTCACTTTGCAAGATGGCCTGTGGCAAGAAGGCTGAGGTCACAAGGCTGACATCAGAGGTCCACTAGCCGTGCTGGATAGCCAGCAATGCTGTTGGGTGCCAGGAGAGAGCTTTTTTGCTTATGGAAAACAGGAATGTTTGATGTGAAAATGCATCAGATCCAATCAGGTTACGGATCCTTTTGCATCCCTTTGCAATGAGCAGGGGATGTTTTCTATGGTAATTCAGCATTTATTAACATGCCCTCTCCTTGTCCTCTAGGTATAAGCCTATGGGGGACTATTGTGTTATAAGACTATATACAAAGGCAACTTGTCTTTGTAGATAGGCCCATGCAACCTCCAATCCCAGTGGAGTCAACGCAGTCTTTCGTACGTCTAGCTATCTTGCTGTTCAGGTTCTTATATTAGTGCACACCATAATATCTGAGTGAACTTCCCAGGAAGATGAACACTGTTCCACACAGTTCACAACGACCTTTCGGGGTGACTTGTCTTAATGTGCCAGCCAAAATATCATTTACCCTATTGTTCCGGACCATCTTTGGCAGCATCCTCCCATCTCAGAGATGGCTGCATTTCAGTAGTACTGGATGTGATATCATAGAATTGTAGGACTGGAAGAGACCTCTAGAGATCATCTAGTCCAGTCCCCTGCACTCAGAGCAGGGTTAAGTATTGTCTAGACCATCCCTGACAGGTGCTCTTAAAAATCTCCAATGATGGAGATTCCATAATCTCCCTAGGAAATTTATTCCAGTGCTTAACCACCCTGACAGGAAGTTTTCCTAATGTCCAACCTAAACCTCCCTTGCTGCAATTTAAGCCCATTGCTCCTTGTCCTATCCTCAGAGGTTAAGAAGAACAATTTTTCTTCCTCCTCCTTGTAACAACCTTTTATGTACTTGAAAACTGTTATCGTGTCCCCCCTCAGTCTTCTCTTCTCCAGACTAAACAAACCCATTTTTTTCAATCTTCTTTCAGTCTTTCTCTAGTAGTAGGATGGATGTCCTGGTGCTTTGGGTGCTAACTTAGTTCTTTTCTACCAATTTTCTATGTGACCTGTGCCTCAGTTCCTCATCTGTAAAGTGCAGATAATCCCACTGCCACAGGAGTCTGTAAGGATAAATACACTTAAAAACAAATACCATGTAATGGGGGCAGCAATAGACAGATATAAAAGGTGCTCTTGAAATGTAAAATATTTTAATTTTTTTTTAATCCTTTTGTGTTGAAAACATCTACACAGTTGTCATGCCCCCTTGAAAGTTTTCTTGGGTTTGTAAAATTTGTCTGTGTTGTAAAATATTTTATAATGATAGCTAGAAAAGTTTACATATAAACCCTGTTCTTTACATGCCCTAAGCTCCCAATAAATACTTATTAAATGAAATAAGGACCCTTTCTCCTTATCACCATGACTGAGGCTCTGGTAGGCAGAAAGTCAAAGAAAACTTTTCATGCCGTGATTGCAGGGAAGGAAAATAGGTACATCAAACACATGAGAACAGTTTCCTAGTTTCCAATTCAGGAGTGTCAGAGAGTGATTAATGACTAACAGCCAGAGAACTGCCTTGATTGCCAAGTGCTGTATTGTTAATGCTGACATTTAATGAGCTCAGACATACTTTAACACAATTCTGCACCATAATCTGCAAATAATGTTCAATAGACTCAATTTGTTATGTATTTTTTCTCCCCCTCCCTCCCACCTTGTTTTTCAAAATTGTGTCACAAAATTGCCAGGGACCGAGCTAAGAGGCACTGTATTGTCATGCGGGATAATGATCCTTCACTGGCCTGTTAACAGTCGGTTGGAGGGGACAGCAGAAGAGAGCTTGCCTCCTCCAGGGGCCAGTCAACACAATTGCCTAGCCATCTTTGGCCAAGATGATGGTCTACAGGTTGAGGCACTGGCCTGCAACCCAGGAGACCAGCAGTCAGTTCCTTGCTCTGCTACAGATTCCCTGTGTGATCCTGGCCAAGTCACTTAGTCTCTCTGTACCTTGGCTCCCATCTGTACAATTGGGATAAAAGCACTGTTTCATAGAACTGCTGCAAGGATGAATAATGACTGCAAGGCACTCAGATACCATGGTGATGGGGAACATATATGTACCCAGATAGCAAACCAGTTAATGTTGTTATGCAGAACTGATTTAAAGTGTTGTGAAGCAAGACCCATTGATTGCTGTATTCATGCCTGTGCTGTTTTACATAGTGTTCTGTTGTCCCAGTGGTACCAGCTGCCCATAAACTTGATCTTTGTGTTGCAAAGTCCTTGGCTTCTGCTGAGGAAGCAGGTTGGTGCAAAATGCAGAAGCCTTAGCCAGCTTTCATGTAGCAGAGGACTCTATGTATACTGCTCCCATTGGCTTCAGTGGGCATTTTGGCTGTACTGGGAATGCCGGCTCAGGCTCAGAAGCTATCATATAATCTGGGAAATGAAAGTATTTTACCTACTCTATAACTGAATAGGACTATTTTTACATAGCTGTTTGCAAGCCCCAGCCGTATGCAATTCTTCGTTGCAAAACTTTGCTTTTTAAACCAGGTGTTTTTTTTATCTCTGCCAGCTCCTGAAGCTACAGGCAGGCTGCAAAATCATGCGAGCCTCCTGGATCCAGTTTATGAAACAAGCCCTTCAATGAAGGGGGATTTTGTTGGTGTGGTTACTTGCTTTAAATAGCAGCAGACATACACATACATATAACCTAAGTGTGATGAGATGGTCTTACACATATATATATGTGATCTAAGAACATCTGGTGGGAACTGCCACGCCAAATCAGTATCTATACAATTACAATCTGTGAGTACTGGTGTATATTTATGGTCAGAGTTAAGGGTGCACGTGATTACAGGCAATTTAGAACCCAGTAATGGGAATGAGTAGTTCAAACTGTTCCTTCCAATGTGAATTACCTTGCTCTTGTCAACTCTGAATTTCATCTGTCATCACCCTGCCCAGCTAAGCTTTCTCAGGTCCCTCCAGAGTTGCTCTGTCTTAGCCAGTCTCAACTCAGCTAAGTGATTTCTCGACATCTGGAAATGTTTCCAATTCACTTCACTCCTTCCCAAAATCATGACTAGGCATATGACCATGACATAATGGTCATACACACACGCATGTGAACTCCGGGTGACAGAAACCTTACACACACATGAATACAATCGAAATAACACAATAGATGGCCATGCACACATTCATCTGACCCAAACACAACGAGATGGTCATTCTTTGTTTCCAATGGCAGGTCTGCTCACGACTCTGTGTCTCGGGGGCTGTAACATGTTACAGAGCTGTTTTGTAATTACCTCCAAGCCCTGAAATACCAGGCTGTCCTGCTTACCAAGTTTAGCCTTTTGCAGCTGTGCGGGTGACAGCTCTGGGAAGGAATAATGAAGGGGTGCATTTCCTTTTTGCATTTCTGGACATGGGCTGTTACTGTAATGCTGTCGGTGAGTGTTCACACATTCCTTGCAGAAAGCTCCTTTTCCTGCCATCTCCTTCCGCCAGGGCTGCGGGAACAGTTTGTATAGTGGGGGTGCTGAGAATCATTGAACCAAACTATAAACCCTGTATGTGATGGGAACCACTTCCAGCCAGGGAATGTGGCAGCACCCGCCCGTACCCGTAGTTCCAGCACCCCTTACTTCCACTGACTTTGTTTCCCTTGGCCTGGTATCACAGGAGCAGCCTCCTGAATAGAAGAGACTACTTTCTCTAGCCTCATTTTAACAATGAACCATTTATCTTCTCATGAATCCTCTCCCCATTGAAAATCCGGCTCAGTGTAGCCAGCGGTACCTCATCCTTCTAAGTGTTAATTTGCCTTTTCTTGCATCTATGGCACTGCATGGTTATTATTGGATTTAGCCTTTGTGTATAATGCCAAAAGGGTCCTCAGCACTGAAATTCACCCTAAGGCCAGTGCACTCTTAAATCCTAGGATTTGACTGATGTGTAGTCCTGTGCTAGCCCTCCGCATACGCGTGAATTTCACCCAGAATGAATAGACATGGTCTTTGCCCCAAATTGCTTGCAGTCTGGTGCTCTGATCCTGCATCCCTAACACATGTGAAGCCAGTAGTTCCATTGCAAGACTGCTCCTGTGTTGCAGGATTGAGCTCTAGGGAAGCCATGACAATAATAATAGCAATAATAATAGTAATTATTATTACAATAAAAGATGTTCAGATCTAAGCAAACTACTTACGTGAAAAGAGCCACCTTTCAACTCCGGTTGATCACGTCTCCAGGGTAAAAGTGCTAGCGGAGCCGTCTGTAAATAATAATAGTGCTTACATGCTTTTCATCTTCAAGGCGCCTTACAAACAACTTATTAAATAATTATTAGGCATCATTATTAGAGAAATGCCTCGTTTCTTTTCCCCAGCAATTTTGCCCAAACAAGTTGGAACCGAAGAGCGGCCTGGCAAGAAAGCAGGAGCTGGAGCTGGGGGCTGTTAATACCCAGCCATATTGGCAGTGTCAGCAGAAGGGCCAAGGAATGGCTGGGCCAGGGAGACTGAACTCCCTTCTTACACTCAGAGGTTGGTTCTGACTGGCCCACACAGTGGCGGGTGGAGAAGTGTGGGAGAAAGGGGCACTGCCCTTGCCTTTGCTGTACTTATCTAGGGGTAGAGGACATTAGTCTCCAGGGCTCTCAAGGTGTTCCCGTTCCCCAGAACTAAGCAATGCACTTTCCTTGGCGGTCTGGCTGTGTTCTGGCCCCATCTCCTCCTCCAGAGCAATAGAGGAGAGGGTACATTAATTGGTCCGACCTCCAGCAGACAGTTCGGTTTTACATCCAGGCCCCAGCGTGTGTGTCGCCGCAGGGTGCTGAGGGCACCGACTCAGTACCACTCCGAAAATAACCAATGTCTGTAATGGTACTGGCAACACTTCCCAACAGCGTAGCATAAGACATGGGGAAAGGTCCTGCAGGCAGGAGTAGCTGCAGTGGGCAGTGCATGGGCAGGGAGAAATAGAGGGATGTAGAATTTAAGGAGACAGAACTCATGTGGAATTTGGCTAGGGCAGCGGGGTTCGCACTAGAGGGCTATTGAGGCAGGGTCTCTCGATAGCGGTGTACGGTGTCTAGTTCATTTCAGGTGCTGCCATAGTACAAATAATAAAAATGCCAGGGGATCATTAAAGATCATGAACAATTAAGGCCTGAGTTTTATGGCCCGTCTTAAGGATGACTCCCCCATCAGCCCAGCACCCCCTTCACATCATGGTGAGGTATGGGTTGAGTCCAGACCAGTGGAGAGCACCATCTACGCAGACATTAACAGCCCTTTCTGAAGCTTTTCTGAGGTCTCTCATGCCAATCCTGACCAGGGCCAGCCCTGTTCAGGTGATGATGAGATCACAGTCTGAGGGGGGGATAAGGCTGCAAACAAGCCTCATAACTCTTCTAAGGCGACCTGAGGCAATGCAGCAAGCAGTGATAAGGTAAGCTGTGGAATCATCATTAGTGGAGACAGTCAAGGATTCAGACATAGGGCTAGACGGCCATGTATCAGTAGTGCCTTGCTCCGTGCCACTGTGTGCAGCAGAGAACACAGCAGTAGTTCCCTATAATGGGACCAGGGGCTTCTGGAGTCTGAAGTCTCTTCTGCACAGAAGAGGTACAACCCAAACTTCCCTCAGGCTCCCCTTCCAGTTCAGTGCAGACCACCTGTAGATGAGAGAGGGCAGCTCAGTCTCCATGCTCCCTGCAATCCCGGCTCTCCCTCCTGGGACTATCAGCAAGGGAGTCAGGACCAGCTTTGGAGGTGGTCTCCTCTTTGCTTTTTAACAGGGACGCTTCTCCACCGGGAACTTGGCTGAGACCTTTACACCAGCCATGGAACAACTGGTGTCGGATCCTAAGAACTCTCGATGAGTACTCATCATTGGATTTAAACAGGTGAAATGGAGCTAAAGCCTTCCTCATCCCATTAACAGTCCCTGACATCATCCAGTCCCCGGGATCCTGCATTTCTATTGGATCTAGCTAGTCAGCACCTGCAGTCACGCAACAGCTACATCACCTGTCCCAATTCCCTTCATCAAGAGACAGAAAACTCTCCAGCCAGTTATATAGCTTACATATTGTGACGCTCTCACACTGAAGTCAATGGGAGTTGTGCCACTCACCTCCGAGCCCCAAAAGAGGGTCCTCCAGCTCCCCCTTGTTACCAGGTATGCTATGTCCCCTGGAACACCCATTGGCTGCAGCCCTTCCTTGCAAAGGTAGAGTGTATTCCGTGGGACAGGGTGCAGTGATGGGCACCATGTCAGTCATATCTGGGCTACATCATTGCAGCACAAACATGACAACTGAGAGGTAACATACAAGCCCCGTTAAGGGCCCACTTGATAGTGCGAGATTCCTGCCCCGTGACTCTGGTGTTATTATTAACCCAAAGCCCCACATCTCTCAGGAATGTGGTACACACTGGGCTAACCTTAAACTGCAAAGCAGGAGCCATGGGGACATAGTTTTTCCACCTCTATTCACAACTGTCAAGCAGTGATTAATGACCAACAAGCCCGAAATTGCCTTTATTGCCAGCTCAGTATTGTTACTTGTGACAGTTAATGAGGTTAGACAGACTTTTACACAGCACTTTATGGGGGCCACAGATTTGTCTCCTGCAGAGCTTAACAACACCACAAGCTTTTGTACACAAAGAGCAAAGAATGTTTGGTTTCCTTGAAGACAATGGACAAAGAGCCAGCTCACTTTTAACACGATGTTTGTCCACCTGTTCTAATCCATTATCAGTCATTCCCTTTTATGCTTTTGTAGCCAGGGCTTGTAAAGGGCCAGGAGGAAGGTAATGAAATAAAATATTGCACCTTTATTAAAAGGGGAGAGACTTTCCTGGTCTTCCTACTGCAGACAGGCTGGAGACAATGGCGTTAACAAGAATATTTCAAAGACTTTCAAACATGTCTCAATTAACTTTGCAGTAAAACCTGCAAAATATTTGTATATGGGCTCCCCTTCACCAGGCCAGGGAAGATGGGTGGAGGAGGAGAGGAAAAAAAGTTTTCAAGCACTAGAGAGAAGTGGATGTAGTAAACCATTTGTTAATATAAAAAAGCCACTGCTGTTAAAAACCAGAGAGAGCGGCAGCACAGACAGCACCTCATGTTCCTGGCCCCGGGTCTAAAAATAATGATTTCTTGGCTTTTTTTCCCCCCAGGATTATTACAAGTAATATTTACCTTTGTGCTAGTTCACATCTTGATACTGTTAAACACGTGGCCACAGATGGTTTCCCATTTAGAGTAACCATATAGCTTGAGCGTTATGAAGCAAAACCCCGTTGGTGAGCCAAAAAACACCCTGCGTTTAAAAATCTATTACTTCTAAATATTATATGTATTTTGTTTCAGCTCAGAGCAATTTCCTAGTTTACTCTTATTAAACCAAGAGGCGGCTGGACAGCAGTTCTTGATTTATGAAACACATACTAGATTCATTAAAACCTTTAAAGATTTAATACATTTTATCAAGGCCTTAAATCTGCGCAAGCATTTAAAAAATCTAATCCAGGGCATATTTCATCCCAGGTGCCCCTTTGCACTTATTTAAGAGCTGTAAAATGTGAATTGACAAATATTGCAGATATTTCATTCCTTATTTCTAAATGGTGCTGAATTCTTCTGACAGGTTTGTTATATATATCCTGGGAGATCTATCAAGTGTAAAGATCAAATTATTCTCCTTTATTGACATTTTATATGTCTTTTCTATATTTCTTAAATCCCCTTCAACAATTATGGATGCTGAAGATTTAATATATTTTTGCATGGTCTGTCACTTTTCTTATTATTACGCCTCAGTCTGGCCAAATGTGCATCTGAATAGGGAACAGATTTTTTAAATCACCTACAGATTTGTCAAACCAGGAATAAGAGAGGCAAAGAATTTGTGACATGATCTAACAGCCATTTCGCAGCTTGAGATTGACATTGGATTAGTGTCAGTCAGGTGGAGTTCAGGAGTTTTTGATTTCCAAAGAAACTTGCTGAAATCTTTCCCATGCAGAGGGAAAATTAAGGCAGGTAGAATAGAAATGTATCCGTCTCAGCCTCACTGTGGGATAAAGGCTTCTCCGGCACTGCCCCCTGTCCAACTATCTAACTCCCCCCCATTGCTGCTAGCCCCTTTGCAGGGCAAAGGTCTCTTTAGTCTGCTCCTGCCCATCCCTCCCTCCCTGACATTTTGAACCCCCTGGCATAGGACCATGGTAGAGTGACCAGATGTCCCGATTTTATAGGGACAGTCCCGATTTTGAGGTCTTTTTCTTATATAGGCTCCTATTACCACCCCCACACACACACCCATGTCCTGATTTTTCACAGTTGCTGTCTGGTAACCCTAGATCATGGCAAACTGATGGCCACACAGCAAGTGAGCATCAGAGCCAGGAAAAGGACACAGGAGTCTGGGGCTACATAGTGAATCGGTGTGGGAGCACAGAATAGGGCCCAGGAGTCTGGGCTACACGGTGGGTCAGTGTGGGAGCCAGGAAAAGGACCCAGGAGTCCAGAGCTGCACAGTGGGTTGGTGTGGGAGCCAGGCCCAGGAATAGGACCCAGGAGTCCGGGGGCTGCACGAAGGGTCAGTGTGGGAGCCAGGCCCAGGAATAGGACCCAGGAGTCCGGGGCTGCACGGTGGGTCGGTGTGGGAGCCAGGCCCAGGAATAGGACCCAGGAGTCCGGGGGCTGCACGGAGGGTCGGTGTGGGAGCCAGGCCCAGGAATAGGACCCAGGAGTCAGGAGCTGCACGGAGGGTCGGTGTGGGAGCCAGGAACAGGACCCAGGCGCCCTCCCCAGCATTGGCAGGCAGGCAGGCACTGACTCCACGCAGGCGGGAGTGAGTCTCTGGCGCCCCCTGGCGGAGCCGCCGCTGGAACTGCAGGCTCGCGGGGCCGGGGGCGGCGCGCAGTGATGATGGTATCAGTGTCACCGCGGCGACACCCGGAAGTTGCTGCAGCAGGCGGTGAGTGCGGGAACCCTCCCTCCCTCCCACCACCTCCGGGCGAGGTTCCGGCCCCCACCCCGCCGGGCCAACCCCCCCTTGCTCCCCGAGGGGCTGTCCCGTCCCCCTCCCGCCCCAGGGCCTACCCCGGCCCCCACCCTGGGGATCCCGGCCCCCTGCCCCACAGCGCCACCCGCCATCCCAGCCCGGCTCCCACTCATTCTTAGGGGACCCCTCCGGCCCCACGGACCCCCTCCCC